CTCCTCCCCTGACTCCTCCTCTGACTCCTCCTCTGACTCCTCCTCCGACTCCTCCTCTGGCTCCTCCTCTGACTCCTCCTGAGACTCCTCCTCTGCTTCCTCCTCCTCCTCCTCCTCCTCCTCCTCCTCCTCCTCCTCCTCCTCTGATTATGAGTCTGACTCTGACTCTGACCCTGGCTCTGACTCTGACACTTACTCTGACTCCTCCTCCTCCTCCACCTCCTCCCCCTCCTCCTCCTCTTCCTCCTCTGACTCCTCCTCCTCAACCTCCTCTGACTGCTCCCCCTCCTCCTTATCCTCCTCCTCCTCCTCCTCCTCCTCCTCATCATCATCATCATCATCATCATCATGATCATCATCATCATCATCATCATCATCATCATCATCATCATCATCATCATCATCATCTCATCCTCATCCTCATCCTCATCCTCATACTCATCCTCATCATCATCATCATCACCACCACCATCATCATCATCATCATCATCATCAGCATCAGCATCAGCATCATCATCATCATCTTCATCTTCTTCATCATCATCATCAGCATCGTCATCATCATCATCATCACCAGCATCATCATAATCATCATCATCATCATCATCATCATCAGCATCATCATCATCATCATCATCAGCAGCATCATCATCATCATCATCATCATCATCATCAGCATCAGCATCATCATCATCATCAGCATCATCATCATCATCATCATCATCAGCAGCATCATCAGAATCATCATCAGCAGTTTCATCAGCAGCAGCATCCTCATCATTATCATCAGCAGCATCAGCATCATCAGCAGCATCACCATCAGCATCATCATCACCATCATCAGAATCATCATCAGCAACAGCACGAGCATCAGCAGCATCATCTTCAATCAGCAGCAACAGCAGCATCATCATCCGCATCAGCATCATCATCCTCATCATCATCATCAGCAGCAGAACTATCATCAACATCAGCATCATCATCATCAGCGGCATCAGCATCATCATCAGCAGCAGCAGCCTCAGCATCATCGTCATCATCAGCATCATCATCATCATCAGCATCATCATCATCATCAGCGGCATCACCATAATCAGCATCAGCATCTGCATCATCACCAGCATCAGCTTCCTCATCATCCTCATCATCGTCAACATCACTATCATCATCCTCATCACCACCATCAGCAGCAGCAACATTAGCATCATCAGCATCAGCATCATCCGCAGTATGATAATTATTATCATCAACAGCAGCATCATCATCAACATCATCATAATCGGCATCAGCATCATCATCAGCAGCATCAGCATCATCATCATCAGCATCATCAGCATCATCAACATCATCAGCATCGGCATCCTCATCATCAGCATCAGCATCATCAACATCATCATCAGCATCAGCATCAGCATCATCATCATCAGCATCATCATCATCATCACCATCATCATCATCATCATCATCATCGGCAGCATCACCATGATCATCATCGTCCGCACCGGCATCATCAGCAGCATCATCATCAGCAGCATCATCATCAGCCACAGTATCATCAGCATTCGCAGTATCAGCAGCAGCATCATAACCATAAGCAGCAGCATCATCATTAGCAGCAACATCATCAACATCATCCGCATCATCGGCAACATCAGCATCATCACCAGCATCAGCATCATCAGAATCACCACCATCAGCATCAGAATAACCATCATCAGCATCATCACCATCATCATCAGCATCATCATCATCATCATCATCAGCATCACCTTCCTCTTCAACATCAGCAGCTGCATCAGCATCATCATCATAATCGGCATCCGCATAAGCATCGCTATCAGCAGCAGCATCATCAGCATAGTCAGCATCAAATCAGCATCGTCATCATCATCATCATCATCATCATCATCATCATCATCATCATCATCATCATCATCATCATCATCATCATCATCATCATAAGCAGCAGCAGCATGATCAGCAGCAGCATCATCAACATCATCCGCATCGTCGGCAACATCAGCAGCAGAATCAGCAGCATCATCATCATCATCACCAGCAGCAGAATCAGCATCCTCATCATCGGCAGCAGCATCATCATCGTCATCATCATCAGCATCAGCATCAGCATCATCATCAGCATCATCATCCTCATCATCATCATCTTCATCTTCTTCATCATCATCATCAGCATCGTCATCATCATCATCACCAGCATCATCATCATCATCATCATCATCATCATCATCATCATCGTCATCATCATCGGCAGAGCCATCATCAGCAGCAGCAGCGTCGTCATCAACAGCATCATCATTCTCTTCCTCATCGTCCGCCTCCTCATCCTCCTTCCCCATACGACTCCATGTCCTACTCCTACTCTTAATCCTACTCATACTCCTATTCCGACTCCTACTCCTACTCCTCCGCCTACTCCTGCTCCTACTCCCACTCCTACTCCTACTCCTATGCCTCCTCCCGCCTCCCTACTCCCTTCTCTCTCATCCATCCGCCCTACTCCCCTCCATTATGTTCCGTCGCATGCTCCTGCACATCCCTGATCAGGGCAACTCGCTCGGGCATCATTAATGGATGGACTGGTGGGGTTACGCGAAGCGTCTAGAATACAAATACTGAAAATCGCTCTCCCTGGATGCGGTGCGGGTTGGGACACCGCTTCTCCCACGCGCGTTTTACCCACACGATTATAAAGTTTGATGTTTAACTGGAACGGTGTCATGTTTTCGGAACGGTGTTCCGCTGCAGCGCTGACCCCATGTCTGGATCCGCGGTGTGCTCCCGTCGTTCGACCTGGAGCGCGGTCTCGCCCCAGCTGAACGGCACGTATGGCGACGAGGCATTCCTCGCCGCTACCGCCCACTTCCTGTCCCATCATCCGCCTTCCCCTGGTCCCCCTGCGCCTCCCGCTGATCCTGCTCCTGCTCGAGCGGAGCGCGTTTCTTTATGTTCGGCGATGACGGGCGTCATGGGGGGGGGGGGGAGGGCGGGGGAGGGTATGACGTGACGCCCCCCCCCCGCCGTGTGGCTCCGGCACCACAGCCGCGCCCGCGCGCACGACGCGACGAGCGACGAGCGACGAGCGACGACGACGGCGCGAGCAGCATGTAAGGTGGCGATCTGCCCATTGCGCCTGTGTACACCACAACGCTCGCGTGCACCACACCGCGCGTGTGCACCACAACGCCTGCGTACACCGCAACAGCCGTGTGCAACGCACCTCCCGTGTATACCACAATTTTTGGGAGCACTACAGCGCTGGTGTACATACGCCGCAGCAGCCATGTGCAACACAACGCCTGTGTACACCACTGTGCTTGCTTGCACCGCAGCGCCTGTGCACGCCACAGCGCCTCTACACCTCAGCATCCGCGTGCAACGCAGCGCTGGTGTACACCGCAGTGCCTGCGAGCATAGGACAGATAGAAGAAGCATGTACGTCAGGATCTGTTGCGGACAACTAAACGCCACACCAGGAAAGTTCTGATAATCGAATGCGACGTTTTTCCCTCATCCTTCCTCCTCCACCTCCACCTCCTCCTCCTCCTCCTGCTCCTCTTCCTCCTCCTCCTCCTCCTCCTCTTCCTCCTCCTCCTCCTCCTCCTCCTCCTCCTCGTCCTCCTCCTCCTCCTCCTTTTCCTCCTTTTCCTCCTTTTCCTCCTTTTCCTCCTTTTCCTCCTTGTTACCCCCTGTCGTGCGGTTTGGCGTTACAACGCACGTGTGCATCTCAGCGTGCACCGCAGAATGGTCGATTGAATCGATCCACTTGGTTCTCGGACGGCCAGTTTAGATGGCCTCCTGGACGCAAATGGGAGTTAGGGTGATGCGGGCGGACTCGGGGGGACTCTTAGATTCCAGCGGCGCGCCTTCGTCCATGAGGATTTGTTTTCCATTCTTTTCTCTGGAATCCACACGCGCTCCATTTTGTCACAAGGATTCCTTCTGAAATTCTGTGCTCAACAATGGTGCTGTGTTGCACACGGCTGATGTGGTGCACACGCGCGCCGTGGCGTACACAGGCACTGCAATGCACGCAACATTGTGGTGTACACTGGTGCTGTGTTGCGCACGGCTGATGCGGTGTACGGAAGCGCTGTGGTACACAAGAGCTGCTGTGCCCGCAGGCACGGTGGCACAAACTGACGCTGTGTTGCACGCGGCTGCTGTGGTGTACATGGGCGGCGTGGTGTACACAGGCGTTGTGGTGCACGCGGGCAGTGTGATGTACACACGCGTTGTGGAACAGATCGCCACCTACATGTTCGTGCTACCCGTCCTCCGTCATTCCTAAGCATTCCCAGACGCCGCCGGCGCGAAACGTGACGTCATCGACCCCCTCCCCCCCAGATGATTGCCGTCATCGGCCCGAACTTAAAAACAGGTTCCAGCCGCGTCCGCGCGCACGACGACGATGAGCGACGAGCGACGAACCACGAGCGACGACGACGGACGACGACGACGACGACGACGACGACGACGACGACGACGACGACGACGACGACGACGACGACGACGCCTGCGGACCAGACACCTATGCGGATTCCTACGCGGACACCTACGCGGATCCCAACGCGCACGGCGGCAGTGCCCGGAGCGCACTGGGGGGGGGAGCGTTACGTCATAGGGGGGGGGGAGGCGGGGGCCATGACGCCCGTCATGCCCCAAGCAATAAAGAAACGGGCTCCTCCTGTTCATCCTGCTCCCCTTCAGTACACGTACTCCTCCTGATCACCCCCATGGGCATGCACCACATCCGTCTCCTCCACCTCCTGATCATCCTCCTTCAGCTGCTCCTATCGTCTGTATCTTCCTCCCCCAATGTATACACATCACCGTGCGGACTACAAATCCCACGACGGGGCCACCCTGGGGGTCCAGGTCTGCTTGGACAACCGCCAGCGGACAGGGGAATGCTCAGCGCACAGGAAATGGATGGGGTCGTCCGCCCCTCTCCCTCAGGCGAGCGGGGGCGGCTGAGCCGCCACGGCGGTGAGGGCGCCGATCATGACCAAGGCGACGGCGAACGCGACTTTGCCGCCACAGAAGCTCCTCCGCCACGGCCCGCGACCCCCCCCCTCTGCATCCTCCCGCGCCATGATGTCTGCCCTCCCCCCCAAGCCCTCCCGAATCGGCCTCCCCCCCATCCCATGCGCGCCCACTTCAATCCCCCCTCCTCCCTCCTCCCGTTTCTTTTCCTGCTGCTCCTCCTCTTCTTCCTCCTCCTCCTCCTCCTCCTCCTCCTCCTCCTCCGCCTACTCCTCCTCCTCCGTCTCCTCTTCCTCTTTTCTCTCCTCCTCCCCCTCCTCCTCCGGCTACACCTACTACAACTACGACGGCTACGACGACTACTACAACTACTACGACTACTACGACTACTACGCCTACTACGCCTACTACGACTGCGACTATGATTACGACTACT